CATCAATAGCCTTCACTGCCTGCCAAAAATTGTGACGTAAAAATATGTCTTGAAAGTCGCAATAACTCCTTGGTCTATATGTTGGATGAGCGCCATAGTATTCGGTGGCAGATGCACTACTTTGACGTTGGAATGAAAGTCATTCATGAATTGGGGGTGACCTGGTGCATTGTCAAACAGCAAAAGAATGTTGAATGGGATATCTTTCTCCAAACAATATTTCTCTATCTCTGGGGTAAAATGGTGTAAAAACCAGTCCTGAAAAATGGCATGTAACCCAGGCTTTGGAATTACTCTTCCACACAACAGGTAGAGAGCCATTGGCTATGTTTTTGAGGGCTCTTGGGTTCTCTGAATGGTAAACTAAGAGAGGTTTTAGTTTCATATCACCAGAGACATTGCCACCAAACAACAGAGTAAGTCTGTCTTTTGCTGCTTTGAAGCCTGGCATCACCTTTTCCCTTTTACTGATGTAACTTCGTTCTAGCAACCTCTTCCAGTACAGTCCTGTCTCATCAACGTTAAAAACCTGTGGGGGTAAATAAGCACCTTCATTAATAATAAGTGTTGCTCGGGCAGCTATGGTATCTGCACTCGCAGCCTCACCGCTTACTTTTACGTTGTGAAGGTTGGCATCAGCCTTGAATCTGTTAAACCATCCATGGCTGGCAGTAAAAGATGTACACTGTTCACCCCATTTTTTCTTCAAGTCTTCTAAACAGGCTTTTATATTTTTCTTGAATAAGCATTAAGCTAAGTGGGACTCGATGCTGATCCTGCATCCACACACTGAGAAGTTTATTCATCTCCTCTATCACTTTACCATGCTTTTTGGATATTATTGTTGACATCATAGGCACAGCAGACTTCACATGTTCCATAATCTTGGCCTTGTTCTTTAGAATTGCGCCAATGGTTGAGCGATTCATGTTATAAGAATGAGCGATGTCTAACATCTTTTCGCCTCGGTCCAATTTGTAAATTATTTTCACTTTTGTTTCCATGGTTATTGCTTTGCGCTTCCTAGCAGTCCCCTTAACATCACCACTGCTTTTCCTCTTGCTTCCGGACATCCTGGGTGCTATACAGTACACTATCACACTGTACAGAGAGCACACAGTAGCACAACTGTGATGTAAAAAGAAGATCAGTGAGTTCTAGGAAACAGCTGCTATTGCACTAACAAGGTAACCAGATAACCTCCAAAAAGCATAAAGTAATATTCGTGCAGCCTCATATGACTAATGAAAATAAATAGGCAAAAAATACTGTTCTCACATATACATGCGTACCAAGGCACAATAACATAAATGATAAAATAAGTAAGTAATGATGAGATATGTAAAGTGCTTCAAATAAATAAATAAAGTGCTTCAAGTTAATGAATCCTAAAAAGTCCTTGTGATGATAAGTGAAACTGATAGTGTCCATAAAACTGTGACAATAGGTGAAAATCCGCATAAAAGTGATCATGAATCATAATCCATGTGCCAATGAAGTATTCAGTGATGTGCTAGGGATACAGTAAAAATACGCACTCACCAGATGCGTATTTAAAATATGTATATATGTGTAGGGTATGGTCAACCGGGGGTCCCCTTTACTATGGATGATGCAGCCTGGGCAGGAATCTCCCTCCTCTGGATCCTGTACTGCACTGCAGCCGTCCTCCACAGTGGGCTCTGTGAATTGTTTAGCTCGAAGTGGAGCCAAAGAAAAGGTTGCCCATAGTGTAGTAATTAAAGGTATTTATTTAATAAATAAAATGTAACCATCCACGTGGGTATATAAGTAATATAAAATCAGGTAACAGTAGCATTTAAGACACACTGACCATCCAAAATCAAAGATGGCCACCGGACTTAAGATGGCTCCAGCGGCGTGATGTCACGGCGTACGGCTCCTCCTTGACACGATTCGTGCCACGCACTTAATCATAAATGGTGTGCCTGTACTGCCGGACTTCAATGATGCCCTTATATAGCGTGAATGGCGCATGCACATCTCGTGCGCACCATTTTGTTGAAGACCTAAGCGCACATGCTCATGCTCGGGCGCCATCTTTTGACAGATTCAGCAATAGCCACACTGTGCAAAAGGGAAACGAGTAACTCCACTGCAAATAACGGGGCACATACCTCGTTTACTTAAATATTGACAGTACTATTGATGCTTAGGATCATGATAAAATGACAGTAAGCCTGTGGGGAAAAAAATAACCATTGTGTATGGTACTTGGTGGGCACACGCATGCGCGGCCAAAAGCTGCAGTTTGACACTGACAGTAATACTTTAGCTGGGAATGATTTGGGCAATAAATCCAGCAGAGGCTATGAGTGAAAAAATCAATGAATTAAGAAACACATCAGGTGGATGTATTAAAAATAAAGTAATTAAATAAGGTTTGTCAAAACACCATAAATTATTATAAAATATTCACATGACCAAAACCCAAAGGATAAATTACAAAACTATAAAAATCCGCCGGATGACCAATGTGGCTATTAAAATCAATATGCTGCAGTATGTAACCAAGGTACATCAAACAAGAGGGATATACAATCAACAAACATACAATCAAAAAAACATAAACCAAAATAAAAGTTAAAATTATACAGTTGCAAGAAAAAGTATGTGAACCCCTTGAGATTATGTGGAGTTTTGCATGAATTTGGCATAAAATGAGCTCTGAACGTCATCTAAGTCACAACAATAGAAGAACGCAGTCTGCTGAACATAATACTACACAAACATTAGATGTTGCCATGGTTTAATTGCACATAACATGTAAACATTCACACAGTGAAGGGAGAAAAAAGTATGTGAGGCCCTAGCTTAATGACTTCTCCCAGAGCTAATTGGAGCCAGGAGTGAGCCAAAGTTGACTCCAATCAGTGTGATGATATTGGATGTGTTGCTGACAGCTGTTCTGCCCTTAAAAAACACACCTGTTTTGGGTTTACTGGTTTTAAGAAGCACTGTCTGATGTGAACCATGCCTCGCAGAAAAGAGCTCTCAGAAGACCTACGATCAAGAATTATTGACTTGCATGAAGCTGGAAAGGGTTACAAAAGTATCTCCAAAAGCCTTGATGTTTATGTGTCCACGGTAAGACAGACTGTCTACAAATGGAGAAAGTTTAGCACTGTTGCTACTCTCACTAGGCGTGGTCGTCCTGTAAAAATGACTGCAAGAGCACAGCGCAGAATGCTGCATGAGGTAAAGAAGAATCCCAGAGTGTCAGCTAAAGACCTACAGAAATCTCTGGCACATGCTAACATTTTTATTGACACATCTACAATAAGGAAAACATTAAACAAGAATGGAGTACATGGGAGGACACCACGGAGGAAGCCATTGCTGTCCAAAAAGAATATTGCAGCACGTTTGAAGTTTGCAGAAGAGCACCTGGATGTTCCACAGCACTACTGGCAAAATATACTGTGGACAGATGAAACCAAGATTGAGTTGTTTGGGAAGAACACACAACACTATGTGTGGATAAAAAAAGGCACAGCACAAAAACATCAAAACCTCATCCCCACTGTAAAACATGGTGGAGGGAGCATCATGGTTTGGGGCTGCTTTGCTGCCTCAGGGCCTGGACGGATTGTTGTCATTGATGGGAAAATGAATTCCAGAGTTTATCAAGACATTTTGCAGGAAAACATACGACCATCTGTCCGCCAACTGAAGCTCCGCAGAGGATGGGTGATGCAACAGGACAATGACCCAAAGCATACAAGTAATTCAACAAAACAATGGCTGCAACAGCACAGAATACGCCTTCTGGAGGGGCCCAGTCAGAGTCCTGACCTCAACCCGATTGAAATGCTGTGGCATGACCTTAAGAGAGCAATTCACACCAGACATCCCAAGAATATTGCTACACTGAAACAGTTTTGTGTGAAGAGGAGTGGTCCAAAATTACTCCAGATCGTTGTGCAGGTCTGATCTGCAACTACAGGAAACGTTTGGTTGAGGTTATTGCTGCCAAAGGGGGGTCAACCAGTTATTAAGTCCAAAGGTTCACATACTTTTTCCTCCCTGCATTGTGAATGTTTACATGTTATGTGCAATTAAACCATGGCAACATCTAATGTTTGTGTAGTATTATGTTCAGCAGACTGTGTTCTTCTATTGTTGTGACCAATTCATGCAAAAAACCACATAATCCCAAGGGGTTCACATACTTTTTCTTACAACTGTATGTCATGTAGCTAAGAGGACATCAATAAAAAGAAGACAACAATAAAAAGAATCCTAAAATAAGAGTAGTAGCAATAAAATTAAATAAAGGACAGAGAATTGAAACAACAAAATATAATTAATCTGGGTAAAAAATCCTAGATAGAAATGCAAATGGTAAGAATTCAATATAGAACCAGAAACCACTGATAAATGCAAAAGTGTGCTGATATAGCATAGGGTGTGTGTACTGAATAAAAACAAAACAAAAAGAACACACCAACAGACACAGTGGTACTGCGTAAAAGCACCAAAAGAAAAAGTAATATATAGAATAGAATAGCTATGAAAAATAAAATAATATAATAATATAAAATTATACAGTATGTATTTAGTATAATGTGACAATGTGCAGCTGTGACAATCTCCGGCAGACATGTGAGCTACTTCCACGATTTGTTCATATCTAAGAATGTTCGTAATGCAAGGTCCCTTTGTATCTGTGAAAGATCGCACCTCGAATGTTCACTAAAAATAACCCTTGACTTAAAAGAGAAGTATGGGTTTATTTTTTTCCACAAATTATAATTACCTAGGTGGATGCAACATCAGTCCGATGCTGCATCTGTCCCCTGCCGGCTTTAAGTGTGAGACCTCAGTGACCAAATTACCTCTCTGAGCAGAGAGCAGTGGCTGTTCTGCCCTCCCAGGTGCCAATCCAGACTCTGGAGTGGATCCTGACTTTAAAGTCGGGATCCTTCCCCAGCCTGGACCAGTTCAGTGACGTCAGCTGTCAGCGGGCGTCAGACCTCTGTCAGCTGAAAAATGGGTCACAGGCAGGGGCCGACTGACAACTCATGGGGCCCCCGGGCAATAGGGGATCATGGGGCCCCTGTGTCCTTGCCCAAACTCAAAAAAGCCTATGAAAAAGGTACCAGGGGCATCTTATGGGGCCCCCTACTGACCCCGGGCTTCGGACACTGCCCGAGTTTCCAAATGGTCAGTCCGCCCCTGGTCACAGGAGTACAGAATGAACTGCACTCCTGTGATCCACAGGAGAAATACAGGCAAAAGAGCTTTGACTGTACTTCTCCTTTAACTTCAAAACAGTTTTAGCACACTTATGGTGGAACAGTCCCAGTGAAATACATTTTACATTATGTATTTTTTCCCCTTTAAAGGTCCCTTTAAAAGGTTAGTGTTAATATGCAGTCTATTATTTATTTAGGGGCAGCGGCAATCTTTTCAGAGAGAATGAAGAGCATGAAAAGGTCATAAAACTTTATGATGTGTGTAATGTTGAAATTTATGTGAAGCCTTTCAAATAATGCAACAGTGACATTGGGCAGTGCCCAGCTTTCTTCTAGAACATAAGCCGCAGTCCCGTAGATGAGGTTACATTACAATGAAGTATGTGATGGAGATGGGTTTTATTACGATGGATCGGTAACTGTAAACACAAATAATTATTCCTGCAGGTTATGGAACTTCCCTTTGCCATATAAATAATTACACTAGAACAACTTGCACAGTGCCCACTGATGTGCAATGACATGTACGGATACGTTTGTTGTTCCAAAGTGCTGGAGGAATACGGCCAGCACTCTTACAGAATTTCTGCATTTTACATATTTAAAGAGCAGGATTACCTATAACATTTAAAATGTACATTCTATTAACATATTTGCTGCTATTTAAAGTAAGTCTGTCACTGGCCAATCACTTGAAAGCTCAACCCACCTGACCCACTTATACTCACCTTTCCCACACTCCTCCATTAGTCCATTGTTTCATTGGGGGTCCCTGTGAAATACCCAGTGCTTGCAGGTATGGGCTTGTGACCAGCTCCTCGTAGGCAGTCCTTGAGCCATTGCAGCCATCTACATGCCTTACCACTGTCGCATGAGGAGGGCTTTAAAAATCTTTCACCACCCAACACAGTTTACACAGGGTTTGACTAACAGCTCCATTAGAAGACCAGAGCGAAAGGGGAGCAAAGCTAAGGTAATCTTGTCCTAAAGGAGAAAAGTGGAGCAACGCAAAGGTGAGCTAGACCTAAAGGAGTAAAGTAACAGACTCTTTAAAGTGGAATCCAATCCAAAAATTTGTTTTATATTGTTTTAGATCGAAAAGGAAAGGGGGGGGATTTTTTGGTGCTGAAGGGACAGAGTCTGCAAGAGAAAGTAATTGCACAGTAGTACCACCCAATGCTCCCAGCTATTTGCCTGGGCTGTTATTTAAAATGGTTTAGAAAACACATAGAACTGCACTAACACTTTCATGACCAGAGGCCCATGCAGCCTAGATGCCAAGACCAACTTTAGTGCAGTAAGTAAGTGTAAGTTAATTTAAGTATAACTTTGTAACTAATTTTGTTTTATACACTTTTGTTAAGGACCTATAAGGCGTTTACTGAGTACACATTTTTAATAAATCCCCTGCTTGACCCATGGACAAAAAATGGTTTCAAAATGCAATTTATACGTAATCGTTTATAACGTTTCATTTTCTTTGTTTTTTAGTTTGACAGCTGCATCAGCAGGTTTATTTTATGCAAATAAACCCATGTGATCACCCTGATTGGCTGTAACAGTGATTACGTGATCAAGAACCAATCAGCATGGTTCCCATTTGTTAGTGTGGAAGCAGTGCTATGACTGATTGTTTGTTCTTGCAATTATAGTCTGTAGATGACAGATTCAGGTTCCCTTGGCACTAGGCTCATGAGGAGCATTAAAATATAAATTGCAGATTGAAATTGGTTAAGGAGCATCTTGGTTCAAAATTCCTAGGGTAAAGTGCAATGATAATATGCCAAGTGCGGCTACTCAAAGAATTGAGAAGGGTTATAAACTGTGTCACATTTTAATTGCTGTCCGTTTCCCTGCTATGAACATTCATCCTCACTATTGGTCAGGGTGCCCTTTTAGTCCAGGACAGAGATTAGGGGAGAAATACAAAATGTTTGAGTTGTCTAAGAAAAAGGAGGTGAGAGAACATACTTTAATGGGCAGACCAGATCAGGTGACAACCCTCTAAAAGAAAATATTCTATTGGCTTGAAGAGATCACCTCTGACTTTCCTCTGTGTCTGTGGGAATTCCTTCTCAAAGAGAAACGGACAGGAAAAAAAACATAAAATGTGTCTTACCAATTCCCTACTTTTTCTAAAGGGAAAAAAGAAAAGTTTGTCTTTTACATACACTTTCACAATCTGATTAAAGTGAACAGAAATGCGATTGGTTACTATCGGCTATTGCACTCTGAACAAACTTATTGCGTTCTGCGCTGCCTTATTAGATAAGTCAGCATATGAATTAAAATCTACAAAGCATGTCCTCTTGTAGCTAGTCTGAGCTGCAAACCAAAAACATAGAACAAACTGTGAAATGCACGTCTAAATGAAACAAATTTCACTCATCCAATGAGTTCTTTATACAGCTGAATAACATTTGGCTTCTCATGTAGGTTTACTAATTTCCACCCGAAAATTATATATTTTTCTAGATTCTGCTTGAACTAGTCTGAAGTTTAGATTTTGGTACAGTGTCAATAAGTTTAGACCTAAAAGCACTTTGTACTGGCATGAGCAAGTAAAAAACAGAGTTGCCACCTCTTATTTTTTTGGAAGTAATCTCAAATTCAGCATTTTCAACAAACACCAAATTGCTGTAACACCTCAGGCCTCGTCTGTAGTCATACAGCCATATAGGCACGATCACGAGAATTTTACAAAAAATAATTCTTAAATATGCTCCTTTGTGACAAACACCTTATAATATTCACATCTAAAGTTTCTCTTTGGAATTACATGTACATCAAGTAATGTGTGGTTTCAGATGTTCTTCTCACAAGTCATACTGTGTTATGGATCTCCAATTACTCAATATTACTTCTAAAATAGCTTATGGAACTGTATCAGAGAAAATATCAGAAGCAAGGAGGCCAATGCTGAAACACAAAAGTGCTCATAAGTTATTGACTCAGCTGACTTAAAATTACTGGTAACTTCATCCTAAAACTGGGATGTATTCCGATAGATCCATGTAAAGCTAGTAACCAAATTAATCTAAGCATATATGTTTTAAATATTTCTAGAAATGGGAAAAGATTCTTCAAAGGTCCTACACTCAACTGGTTAGTAGGTAAGCTGCTCATCCATGTTAGCTTCACATATATCCAAGGCAATATAATAGTTGCGGAGGTAAAAAAGAACCAAGCAGAGCAAAAACTGTATAGCACAAATAAACACCTTTTAATGAAAAGATATTGAGTATAAAATGCATATACTAAGTGATGACTTGATCAGAGCCTTCCCCCTACGTGTGAAGTGGCAGAGATGACCAGTTTAGCAGGAAGCTCCTTTCTCTTGTAGTCCATTTAGATTTGGCTGTACCTATTCCTCCTTCATCCTGATGAAATATGTCAGTGAGGGTACATCTTCTTTATATTTTGGACTTTCAGGGGAGAAAGTATATTTTGGCATCTGGGGTTTATTGTGTTAGCACTTAGTATCACACGGATATATTTATTTACTGATAGTAGTTGTTGCTGTTCCGCTGTGATCTGAGTATTGTTGAGAATTTCTCGCCTGTTTACAGGCTTTGATCAAGTTGTCACTTTGTAAGTGTATTTTATTTTATACTCATCTTTTCATTAAAAGGTGTTCATCTGCAAAATAGAGTGTGCTCAGTTTGCTTCTCTTTTAATATCTCTAGAGATACTATGGCCATTTTTATGAAAACCAAATAAAATTGAAAGTTTTGTGTGAAATGGTCTTTTCAGTTATATGCTAACCAACTTTGCTGGTGAATCAGTTGCTTTGCCAGTGAAAGCGGAACACAGTTTTACCAACCTTTGGGTTTGTAAACACTTTTTAGATTTCCTTGCCAAACAAGTCAACAAGAATGCAAAAGCAACTCAAAAGCAGCAAAAGCAATTCAAGAGCAGCTTGAATCAATTTAAACTAACTTGAAGCATTAAATCGATTGCTAGAATAACTTAAATTCAAATCAAATCAACCCAGAAGCATGTAAAAGCATGCTGTACTTGACTTACTTTTGAGTTTTAAGCTTCTTTACACTAGCCATTGCAGACATAAATCAACTTTCCTTGGCATGAAGTGGCTCTTGCCTATTCACATGTACACAAAACAGGCACATCCTTGAAAGACATTTTTCATGTGTAATCATCAGCTCAAGAATGGTTAACTGTATGGCCTATGTTCCCAGAATCCCAATTCAACTGGACAGCATGAGGAGCAATGTGAATAAATGCAGTGAAGGCAGTACTCTCCATTTATAAGGGAGGTTGTGCATTTACATTGTTTCATATGTGGTTAGGGAATGGCCACTGTTGTGAGCCAGGACTGGGATCATATATGTTATGAGATGTCACCTTTGTGTATTAATTTTTGGTGAGCCTATATGTTAGTGTAATTCTGTGTTTTTTCGTGGGTTTCCTCTGAGTTGCCTTCCACAGCCTGAATACTGTGATGTGTGATTCTGCTCTATCTGACCCTAATTCACATGACAAAGTGTTCACTGACTCTGAATTGAATGAAAAGGATGGTCCTGTGGTCACCTTATCAGTACACTTCTGCATGCCATGCTCTGACTGCCAACCACACTTGCTGACTTTTCAGTCAACAGGAACTTGCCTAATACGTCGAGATGACATGGTGCAGGACCTTATAGGTGCACCAATTCACTATCACATACTTGTCCTTATTTGCATATTTTCTTTTGAGGACTAACCTAGACCAAATGATGACACAGTATACCCCTCAATCACGATATACACTTATGTGTAGGTGCTCCCATAAGACATAAGTTAACTAGTAAACAGTCCCAAGGCAATATATATATATATGTTTAAGGCACAGCTCAAGCGGGATGACCCCCTGGAGTCAGCACCTGGTAAATTAAGAGACCAGAGGAATATACACACAAAGCTACAAAATTGTTGGTACCTGTGAAGTGAAGAATTAATGCAATAGACATTTTAAATGTATCAATTAACAACCCACAAAGTGAATACACTGGAAAAAATTTAATCAAATCAATATTAACTGTTTCCTCCTTTGTCTATAGAACAGCATCAGTTCTCCTAAGTACACTTGCACACATTTTTAGGGAACTTGGCGAGTGGGATGTTCTGTGGAGTGACTCAGATGTTTCTGTCTCTTCATGCTATCCCACATGGACTCAATGATGTTGAGATCAGGGCTTTGTGATACTCATACTGTTCTTCCAGGACTCCCTATCTTTGTTTCTGACTTTGACTGTATGTTTGGGATCATTGTGATGTTGCAGAATGAATCAGACCAACCATATGTGTCTCTGATGGTATTGTATGATGAAGAACAGTATATTTCAGTCTTTAGGAAACCATTAATTTTGGCCAAATCCCCAAATCCATGTGCAGAAATGCAGCCCTAAATCTGCAAGGAACTCCACTATGCTTCACCGTTGCCTGAAGACATTCATTCTTGCACTGCTCTCCAAGATTTTATGAACAAACTGCCTCCTATAATAGCCAGATATTTCACATTTGGGCTCATCAGCCTAAAGCACCTGCTGCATTTATTCTGCAACATCTTTCATGAGGACCACATCTGTCCAGACATCTCCAAACTGTAGATGGGTCTACCAGAGTCCCACTGGGTTCTGCTAGTTCTGAGCTGATGGTCTTTCATCTGCTGCACTATTTTTTTCTTAGTGTAAATCTAGCCTACATCATGCCTGTCAAAAATGATATATGGGTGCTGCCATTTCTGGCCTTATTTGGAAAATACTAATTGACTGGCTATGTCTTATCTAAATATCCTTGAGTTATGGATTCAAATTAAGCATATAACAAAGTAAACTCATAAAAATGTCCAAATTTCTTCTCGTGATACTTGTTTCCAATGTGATTCAAAGAATGCTAAAATCAAACCATAAGTATGACAGGCAGGGAGCTAATATTTTCAGGAGGCAAGTGATAATAGACCATGTATTTTTATCATGAAAGATTTATTTTTAGGGATAGGTTTGGTGGTTAATTTGAGGTTTAGGGTTAGGCAAAGGTTAAAGGAAACATACATTTAGTACTGAGTTGTAATAAATGTGTTTTTCTTGTGTGATAAATTGCATTTTAGATGTGACAAAGTTGTTGCCATTGAGACGGCTACACCCAAAACAATTGAACCAATTTTATTACAGTCAAAATGACTGTGCCACTCTGTTTGTGCCGAGGAAAAAAAAAAAAGATTAATGCTACTCCATATATCAACAATGCAGCGCTTTTTAGCATGCTTGTTTTATATCGTATTTTTCTTGATAGACATCCCTGCCACCAATAACACTTTGTGTGCACAAATATGCTAATTGGAGCGGTAGCTATAAATGCCGGCTTTAAGTAAGTTTTCTTTAAGTGGTTATTTTAACTACTGACATTTCACATTATGCAGTGTTCTATTTCCTTAGCCTGAGACAAGCCAGTCTTTGTTGAGGAGAGATAGGAAACATTTCTCCACGATGAATGCATAATTAATAAAAAAAAAATAGAGAAAAAGAACCAGGACCTGCTGGTATATAATAACACATTATCTGGCCTCCAAATTTTCTCATCGAAGGAGAAGTGGCCACACTCATACATTTATCCCAAGTCTGTAAAGTTGTCAGCTTGAAATCACCAAGCATCTTGACTCTTAACCTCAGTAATACGGAGCACTTTCCAAGTACTTCAAGGCCCCCAATTAGACGTGTGCACCATCCGATCTTGTTTTCCTTCCATTTGTATAAATTTGTCATGCCTCGCTTTTGACACCAACTTAATTAGCTTTTTATTCCATCTGAACTTTAACTCTGGCTGTGATTTATGTGGAAAATAGAACCCAATAAATAGCCAACAGGGGAGACTTTTCCTCACCATCGTCCCTTTGGATTTTTTTTTTACTCCTCTCATTTTGTTTGTTTATTTTTTAAATCTTTAAAAAACAGCAAAACCATTGGCAAATATCAAGTCATGTAAGGCTGATTAGTAACAGGATGTAACAGTTTACTTGTTGTAAGCGCCTGGGCTGTAGGACATGCACAGTAGGAGGTGTGAAAAATGGAAAGTAAGACAGGAATAGAAGCAGACAAATAAGGTAAGGTGAGCTAAGAATTCTTTTCATATAGATTTGGTGCCTTCAAAAAGTTTAAATCTAATGCTTTATACATACTGTCTCATAAGTTTTACAAATACATGTCCTTTCCAAGGCTATTACTTCACAGAGGCAAGGCGAGAAACATGTTGCAGGTAATTCCATCTAGATACAAGGTGACACAAGGACCTCACCTTACCCCACAGTATTGCAGCCACACCCTGCTACTAGAGACCCTGGAAGAACTGTAAGGAACTGCAGCAAAAGGTATGGGCCCCATCCACTGTAGATAGGCCTTAGTACTGCCTCATTTGAACCTTTGCTGTCTTATTTGTAACTAAAGCCGGCCATAATAGCCAACCTTACACTAGCTTCACTGCAATATTCCAAATTCAAAGATTGGAGATGGGTACTCTGGCTGGGGCATTCATCCCTTAAAATGAAAGTCCATGAAGTATAAAGACAGCCACCCAGTGTACTCATATTGAAAAAAAAAAAAAACATTTATTGTCACAGCTTCAAAAATGCTATGTGTTTTGGCTTATACAGCCTTCTTTACAGCATATCAACAGAAGAAGGCTGTATAATTAAGAGTACACAGAGTGGCCAGCTTCATACTTCATGTAAAGCCAGCAGAACATCGATCAAATTGGTTCAGCAGGGACCAGCCAAGATTCAATTCAACTATGCACATGTTGGTTGTACTGAAGTTGATCCCTCAATCAACTTCAGGACAACCAGTCTGTCAGATTTTTTGGATGTGATTACTGCCAGTGGCTATAGCCACTAGCTGTCAGGTACCTACCTACGGTAGCTCTAGCGCTCCACAGACCGGCTTTCCCCCTCGGCGCGGAGTCTAAGCCCCAATCTGCTTGTTCACCAGAGCCCCTGATGGTGGGGATGGACTTGGAGCAGACAGAGACCCGGTCGCGGCCCCTGAGTACACCCAGCTGTGGTAGAGCGAACCGCCGGTGGCACATAGGAGGATGAGAGCCTGATGTGAAGAGGCAGAGCGGTCCGTGCAGGATGGATGGACGGAGCACACTGGAACAATAGCGGAGTCAGACAGGCCGGGTCGGTAACGGTGGAGGCAGAGCGGTACAGAGCAGCAGGCAGAGGGTCGTCAGGTCACAGGTTCAGCAGCAGGAGATCAGACAATCGGGAACAGGCAGAAGAATGGTCAAACAAGCAGAGGTCAGGGCAGGAGAAGGTCAGCAATGGTCAGGATCAAGCAGGATTCGGCAACAACAGGAAACTCTCTCAGGAACAGGAACGACAAGGAACAAGACCATACGGCAATTTGAGCATTGCCGGAGCCAGTTTAAATAGTGCGCCCTGAGCTGTCATTGGTGCCAGGCGCGCGTGCGCGAGTGCGCATGCGCGGCCGCAGTTGTTGCCGTGGGCGCCTATGTCCTAGCACCCGCATGCTAGTCCGCATCAGAATTCCGCGCAGGCGCAGATCCGTACGCCGTGGCGAAACTTGGAATCCCTGACACTAGCAGTGATCATTGTGTTCTGTGGAACACAATACCTGCTGCGGAACACAATAACGTCACAGGAGGCATTCCCCAACCAACACTGACTGTGTTGATGGGGGCATGTAGCAATTTTCTATCTTTCCACCTGTGGTGTATGGAAAGAAAATCATATCATCTATGGCCTGCTTAAGGCACAGATAGGTTTATTTATCAATATCAATTAGGCTGTTCACTTTGCAAGTGAATTTTCACTTAGCTTAGGGAATCAGTTGAAGCTCTGTTGTTTTCCATTATTCAATTATGTGCAAGCAAAAATACATGTAAATTCATCATATTCACTAAGTTAATTGAAACTTCCATTGCAATGTGAATAGTCTATTTGCCTTTAGTACATCAACCCCAAAATGTCAAGACATTCTTCTATAGCTTCAGTTTTTACTTTTTGCAAGTCAGGTCAAGCTATGTATTTCTTTTCGTTTTACTGCAATGTGACTCTACTGTGACCTTTGAAAATGATTCTACTGTACCTAAGGGCATGTTTGCATTGCATCTCAGTGCTTTGAGTGTATTCGCTGTTCGATGTTTAAAAGCACAGAAGGAAGAAAACGTTTTTTTTTTATGTTATAAGACAGCTTCAGCACATTTTATCATTTGGTTTACATGCATAAAACATTTATATTGGCAGGATGAGGATGGTATTAGAGAGCAAAGTGTGATATGACAGTGGCCACTGTAATTAGACAGACTGATCCAATAAAAAAAAGCAGATTTTTTTAATGGATGACTTTAAATTGGTGTTCTGTCTTTCTCAGCTCATTTCTCCAGATAAAAAATGCAGGCCAATTGTATGTGTGAGCAAAAAAAAAAGGAAAAAAAGACCATGCTTAGAGCATTGAGTGAATTCTTGGGGGCCCCTTTTCACATGTGCGGATTGTTTGTCCATTTTTCGTCCATCCGTTGACGGATGAAAAATGGACATCAATGCTTTTCTATGGAAAACTGATGTAAACTGATGAAAAACTGATGTAAACTTGAAAAGTTTTTTCTTTGAAAAAATGTGACTGAACTGATTAAATGAACGGTCTGCATGTGTGAAAGGGGCCTATTCTTAAAGCGGAGTTCCACCCCCATTTTTTATATATTACCTGATTATGTTGTCCCTGTAAAATAAAGAACAAGTTTGACTTTTTTTTCTGTAATATACATACCTGCAAGCCTGCAGTTCCGGTCCTGACCACCTAGGCGATGATGTTGTAAGGCGATTTGCAAGGTCTCCTGGAATATCATTTCCTGTATCTCAGGAGTCCTTTGGTTTCCTGTAATTGCGGGACTTGGAAACTGGAAATCAATCAAATGTACAGGTTGACTGACAGGAACTTCAGCCATCCCCACCATTGTTATGGCAACCTGTACTACACACGTCGCTCTGAATAGTGTCTGTACTGTGCATGCACGAGAAC